CATACTTTTAAAATATTTTTGGTAAAGGTAATAATAACATGAAACAAAATTGAAAGATTCAAAAAAAAAAAATATTAATTAATTTATTTTTTTTTATTTACAATGAATCAATTTGGAAGAGAATATATATTGCACGATTATTGATATGGAAGAGACTATGAATATGTATCCCACAATATATGTTAACATAGTTCAAAAAATCCAGCCAGACAGTGTGAGGTGGGTCAAAGAGGTGCAACCCTATGCATCTCCAAAAGGCCCACATTAGGTCAAGTAATATCTCGTCAAAATTCTATCAAAAGATACTTATGAAACATGTAACAAAATGGCAAAATTTTATCCAAATATGATTATGAAACATGTAATAAATTGTCAAAATTCTATCCAAATATGATTATGAAACATGTAAGAAAATGCAGGGAGGATGCTACTACGCATAAAGGAGAAGTGAAGTGATGAGTGATTTCCTAAAATCAAGGAGTATAAAATTGGAAGAACCCTAATTCAAAAGATGAGATCCATTCAACCGACATTAGATCCGTTCATTATTTTTCCCATTGCTTTTCTTTCATTCTTAGATATTTTGTTCTTACATTTCTGCAATTTATCTTCGAGTGCAATTAAATCTAATTTTTTTATTTAATTTTGCATTATCTTGCTTCCGTGCAAATGTGCAATTCAATTACATTCGAATTTTTTCACATTATATCAACACCCAAATTGCTCGTTGCAATCGTTCATATTCAAATATTTATGTACATTAATATTATAGCGAGATCAACCCAAATCATTTCTAGATGAGGTCGGGGAACCCGAGTGACGTCGATTTCGACGGGCTTAATTCATCAGACCGTTATCGACTATTTTCGACCATAAAAATTTGGCACGCCCAATAGGACACTGGTGTCTCACTATATTTATGCAACTTCGCTGTAAAAAATTGAGCTCGTCATCAAATATGTCTAAAGGTAAATGAATTGTGGGAGTGATTTCGGCGCGAAAAGGCGCAAGGGAAGCTATGTACAACGAGTCATCGGCAGCTCCCGAAAAGAATGAGCAGCTAGTTACTCTCCTAGACAGTGTATTACAAGACCAGATCTAAGGAGAAATTTATGCATTATGGCAAGAATTAATGTTGGAGCGATCTCGCTACCTCAAGGACATCCTCAAGCTAGTGATCTGCAACGAGATCGCATGGCTCATAGAGAAGGAGAATCAGAAAGGGGAAGGCACCGATGAACAGCTCTGATCAGACATATTTTAAGCCTCGGGAAAAGGTTCCATCTAGTGTCATCGCCAATTCCTCGGCTAATCTGCTATAATACTATCAATAACCATTTTAATCAAAGTGAGTGGATTCATCAATCCACCACCCAACGTTCAAAAGATTGGAGAGCACGAACAACCCTTGAGGCAGGCCTTCATAGGGCCGCCGCCAATTTCTGGAATCAGAGAAAACGTGGGAACCGTCTCTCCAGTGCCACAACACCATACCAACCCTCTTTTTGAGAGAATGGCATCAAATGCACCCGTTTTCGATCCAAATGTTCAAAGGAGCCCGATGATGTGATAGGGGACATCGGATGCCTTGAGGCATAAAAAGTAGCCGCCCCAAATGCATATTTATTTCCCGGCACCACCTGTTGCGGTCTGGACCTCAGGCGCGCCACATCCGACATCACATCTTTATGCCCAAGGGCAAGAAACTGTAATGGAAGCTACATCTTTCAACTTCTGAGCTGTACCAAAACTATGGCTCCCCTATATGGACAACAATGATGTAGTTCAAGAATGTCCCATAATAGTTGATATCATGCCCGGAGGGGCCGCGGAAAGAGTCCCTATGCGTTTCTTGCCTGAAGGGCCTTCATCAAGAGTTCTAACAACCTGCGCGCCGGCAACAAGTTGTCTAAATGCTTTCGAAACTACTCAAAGAACAATAGGAAACAACGCCACCACCGTGCCTTCTTATTAACCCTCAAGCAATTGAAGAGTTAGTTCGTCATCTTTATGGCGATCCAATTCGACTCCTGACAAGGCCCTATTACCAGATGTCTTTCATGGATCAAGTTGCCTTGGACCACCCACTACCTAGGAATGCCAGGATCCCCAAATTCAAAATTTTCTGAAGAAGACTACCATTTCACTATAGAACACGTGAGCCGATTCACAGCTCAATATAGAGAAGAGTTTAGAAACAATTATTGGTATAAGCTCAAGTTTGAATAGGGCTTTCAACGAGCATTTCTACAACTCCATCCCGAAATAACGTCAAACATAAAAAATTTACAACAAATGATTGATAAGCCTGTTAAGTCATTTTTAGAATGGTTCTTAACAGCAAAGAGTAAATGGCAAGTTTGCATACCCGAAAACCAAGTTGTTAATACAGAAATTGATAGTATGACTCATCAATTGAAAGACAAGCTTGCGCTCCAAGAATATCAAGATTTTTGGAAACTATTGTCTAAATTTATCAAATTGGAACAACTTTTAAAGGATGCTCAAGTTGCTCGGAACCAAAAATTCTATCGCAGAACTCATTATGTGCATGCCCAGAAAGAAAGTGCCGAAGATAAAGAGGAACTGGAGAAAAATTTTTTTTGTTGGAAATTTTCAGAGCAAGGCTTACTCATACCCAACGCTGAAGCCGACTCGAATGAAGGAAACAAACCTGAAGGTTTCAACTCATTCAACATCACAAAGACAAAATAGATTTTTTAAATTCTCTTGAAAGTTAACCAGCACCGCCTTAATGAGAGACATAAGATTCCATTAACCGATGAGTTAAATAGAAGATCGTATTGTAAATGGAATGGTTTATACAGTCACCAAATGGGAAATTGTATCGCCTTTCAGAACACAGTACAAAAGCCATAAAGGAAAGACGCATTCTACTAGTTAAAAAACTCGAAAGTCAACGAATGTCAATGTAAGAAGTCAACATATGGAAGTCAACGGTCAACGGTCATCGTTGCACGGAAACTCTTGTGTGGAAGTGAGCAAAGCGATGGTTGCAGTGCGAAAAGCAAGCGACGGCTGCACAGAATTGAAACGGCGGCTGTACGGAAGACAATGAGTGCGGAATCCATGAGTGATGGCCGCATTTATGAACGTGGAATTTGTGACCGAAGCGAAAAGCAAACGAGCGCATAATCTGCGTGGCGGATGGTTAGCGGTGCATTTACTCAGCGTGGAAGGCCATGCATGAAAGTGAGCAAAGCGGCGGCTGCACGGATATTTGAGCGAGAGTGGAATTCAAGCGGCGGCTCCGTGGAAAGCGAGCGGCGGCTGCACAAAATTTGTGACCGAAGCAAAAATCCATGTATGAGATTGAGCAAAAAGGCGGTTACGCGGAATTGATTGACTAAAAAGGCGGTTACGCGGAATCCCAGCGGCAGCATCACAGAAAGCAAGCAAGAACAAAAACCAGCAAAGCGGCTGCATTTATTGCGCCAGCCAACATTAATTCTGCACAATATTTTTCGCTGCAATTACTGCACTCTCGGCTCCTGCATTTATTCATGCACTCTCCCAACTCCTTCATTTAATTCCTAAAATATTATTTAGCCAATTTTTGGGTTGTTTATTGTACTTTTTAATATTCTACAACCTTCTAAAAAATAGATAGTTATTAGTAAGTTAATAAGTAGTTATTAGTAGCTATTTTTAGAGGTAGTTATTTATGGGCAATTGTAACTGCCAAGCTTCTACAAGCTTTTCCTCCTATAAATATTCCCTCTAATTGTATATTATATACACCCATATATACACAATAATATACATAACCATACACATTCCATTATTTCATACACTCTATTTTCTTTATTTTTTCTCTTTCATATTTATTTCTAATTTAATACTACGAGATTTTCAGTTTTGTGTTGCGAGTAAACTGATTTTTTTTCTTCTTTTCTTTTAATTCCAGCATATTATTTTAGCTAATAAAATTCCTATCATATTTTCCCACCTCATTTTCACCAAAAAATTCCATGTTCGATTTGAATTATTCAAGCTAGATTTCGACAAGGTTGCGGAAGGGCGATAAAAGGATTAACTATCCATGCATATAATCGTGTTGTATTCATTAACAAAGATTAGGCGGTTCATAGCGGCTAAGTACGCGGGAGCCTTGTCGACCTGCTTAGTTCTTGTTCTGAATTTAACCCCTATTAAAGAGAGGTATCAGAAGGGTAGAGCGATGAGCGAGACAGTTGGAAGAATAATTAATTGGGCATATGCGCTGCTCTATTTGGTCATAAAAATGTCCGGTGACAATGGCTTTTCTTTCAAACAATGTTCTTCACCGGGTGTCACTGAAGACTCGTTGTAAATCTCCTTAGGTCAAGTACCAACAGAGTCGAGAATCGGCTTAAGCAAGCAAATACGATCACTCTCCTTCCTCCGAGCCGCTCCACAATTATACATATATTTTTTGCTATCACACCATCGTCATCCCGCTCAATTAATCCACGAAAACCTAGCCATTAAGGAACGCAAAAGTGACACACAAACATCTTACTCCATTTTTGAGATACGTATACTTTATCACTTTTTATTTAGATTTAGTTTTTGTAATGATATCCTACCTGAATTGACTTTAGATTATCAGACTAATTCAAATATCGGTACCAAAATATCCAATCAATCTAACAATCACAAACGTTATTCTCAGAATTAGACAAATATTGATAATAAAAAAGAACTTTTATAAAGAAAATTATGAATCTCCAAAACAAAAGAACCAAAACATTATCACCCCTCAAATTAGAAAAGTATCTACTCCATAATCAGATAACAAAGAACAAAAGAGAAAGATAAATTCATAGTGGGAGGGGAAATCTTCTATGTCGATTTGCTCCCGCATGATCTATGAGTCTGTCAGTCTTCTGCTTCTGTGCGTATCTGCTTTGCTGACCGTTCTCCCTTCTCTTCTGCGTGTCTCCACCCCTCTTTATTTAATTTTTGCCCTAATTATTTTGTAGTTGGGCTTTTGGGCCTTTAATTAAATTCTTATGTCATGAGGGTAAAGTTAGTCATGGCCATGACTAACTAGGTTGTGCAAATCTGAATTTTTCTTTACTTTTTCTACCAATTACGCCAAATTTGATATTTTTCTTCTGCATACAACAAATAAACAATACATATATAATTAGGTAGAATCCAATCAAAATTAATCAATTATCGCATATAATAAGAACATTTAACGCATGCGATTTCTAACTATCAAATCTCCCTACACCTAAATCATGGTTGCCCTCAAGCATAGATTTGAAATAAGCCAAAGAAATCACAAGCGCCTCAATATGACAAGAGAATCCAACACAACCAGTTCAATCCGAAAAATCCAACACATCAAGCCAAGTCAACCTCACAAGATAAAGTGTATTCGCACATGCTCTCTGAAGGAATTAAGTGTATAATTGGCTCAACACTCAGGTAGTGCAACAAAAGTTTATCCTATAGGTTTGAGTAAAAATCAAATCTCCCTTACTTAAATATTCGAATCTAACATAAAGAATCAAAAGGACTTTCAATAAGGGTTGTAGCGGGGCTTATGGTCAGGGTAGGGAAAAAGATATACAAGGGGTAAAATATGTCAGAAAAGAACACAATAAGAACACGATGCTAGCGCATGAAGAACAAATCGGCATAAACAATAAAATTCTTATTTTATTCACTACCCAAACTTCAATAACGTAATTATATGAAAAATACTTCATCAAGATGATTATTTTATTATTTATTTATTTATTATTTTTTTCTCTTTTTTGTTTTGTTTTGTTTTTTATATTTTTTGAATATTTTTTTTACTTTCACTACCCATAATTATTCCTTCATACTATGACTTATTCGTACCCAAATTTCGTTTCTAACTAGTGCCGAATAAATAAAGTGCATCACAACATGGACTTAAAGTAATTCTTTCTAACATAGGGTTCAAATCGGAGAAGGCTTAATCAAAAGAAGGGTATGAGGCTAAAAGACAGGTTATTATAAAAGAAAAAATAGGCAAAGAAGGCTCAAATGGGCTAACTAGGGGAATATGTTGTGCTGGGTAATAAAGAAAGGCTTAATGGGGTTACCTAATGCCCTTATCATTTTCAAAATGCAAGACTCGATAGTTGCAAGTTCAACACGCATAATCACTCAAGTTCTAGGTCGTCTAATTGACACTACAAATCACACATGAAAGAAATTTTCAAAAGCTTGAATATATGCAATTTATTTTTTAATGTAACTTTTCGAACATAGGCTCAAATCTCACGGGGTTCAAACGTCGACTTGACTCAACATATCACCAATCAAATGTCATTAGTCATGCTAGACAAACCTATCACACAAATCACCTTTGACTCACTTCAGACAAATCTAAAAAACATACTAAAAGACAACAAATCAGGCATAAAAAGTTGCACAAAATAAACAATTTGCCCCAAAATTTTTGCATAATTCTCTCCACACCTAAAACATGCATTGTCCTCAATGTAAAAAGAAATAAAATAAGAAAGAAACTTCCCTGGAGTTCGTAGGGGGTGGAGCAATTGCGAGCTTTTGCTTTGCTTACCAATGCCTTTAGAGTTGCGCATACGCCATTTTTAGGGAGGCTTGAAGTGTCTCATGAGTTCTCTGCAAAAGTAAAGTAGCCAAGCGCAAAGTATCCTAGAAAAAAGTGTTATATGATATAGCTCATCATATGTCTTTCAATGCGCAATGAATTAATCAAAGTGTATCATCGTACCAATCGACTTAACCCCACAATAGACAAATGTTCAGCAAGTAATGAATTAGTGTTGCATAGAGTCATTGACAGACATGAGATCAATTTTTTAATCCCAAAATATCAATCCAGCCAATCCAATGCAAAAGGATCAAACAAATCAGGCCTAACATTAACAAGCCCAACAGTTCAGCAAGAAGAACTTGACACCAAATTCACAGCAATTTCCTAGTAACCAGAGTCCATAAATTGGCAATTCTGAAACATCAATCCTATATCTCAACATATTATTCAAAAATTGGAAGTATTGGTAGGGATGAATAGATAATACCCAATCCAAGAATGAAGCTCGGCGTTGGCTGGAGGCGGAGGCGTGGAGTCGCAGGGGGCGCTGGGCGTCGGACCGACTAGTTCGACACAAGCGGCATCTCAGCGGAGAAAGGAAATCAGCGAAGAAGAAGAAGACACAGAGGAAGAAGATGATCGCCGGCGTCTGAATCAGCGGAGTAAGGAACCGGCGGCGCCTGGTGGAGTCTAGCGGAGGACGTCATGGGGAGGGCGTCTGGCGGAGCGATGGCAGCGTCTGGTGAACGATGGCGGCGTCTGGTGGGGCGATGTCTGGTGAAGGTCTGGAATCTGGTGGAGGGGGGGATCGGCTGTTGGTGGAGGGCGACCGGTGGAGGGAGGAACATGAGAAAGAGAGAGAGGGGGGGAGAGAGAGGGGAATTTTTTTATTATTATTTTTTATTAATATTTTTTTTTTATTTTGAAATTTAGGGTTAAAATTGGATAAGAAAGAGAAGAGGCAGTGTGATAGGTAGTGTTTAGTCATGGTCATGACTAAATACTATCTTTTATTCTAGAAATTGGTTGAGTAAGAAAGGTTGGGTGAAAAAAAAAGTATGCGAGGTGCCAATTAGTCATGACCATGACTAAAAGTCACCTCTTGATCTGAATTTTTTTTTGGGAAGAGTGGTCGCGCCTTCGCCAAGAACCAGTAATTATTTTCCAAAAGACCTGCACCAAATCAAACAAAACCATCAAAAATGTTATTAGTAATTAAACAATAAAAATAAATAAAATTAAAGAAAGCAATTAAATGATTTTGGTTGTCTCCCAAAAAGTGCTTTTCTTTATAGTCTTTGAGCTAGACTTCGTCTTGCATCAATTCTGAACATTAAAATCAGCAACAGGTGCCGAATTTATAGGATCAAGTGAGGGTCTCTCGTGGTATGATTTGAAGAGATGTCTGTTGGCCACACACTTTTTCTTCGGCTTAAAATTTTGATTCTCCTTATGACACATTTTCGCTGTCAGCAATGGTGATCCCTTGGGAATCCATCTCCACTTTTCGACAATCTTTTTTCTTCTTTACTCTCTCCGGTTGGTCTTTTTTCTAACTATTTTGTCAACACAGTTCTTCGTTTATTTTCATTACCAACTTCATAAGTTCCCTGCACCACATAATTAATAATATTAATTGCATATAACAATTCAGATTCAACAGGACATGTGATGGGATTAAAAATATTGAAATGAAATTCTTCTCCATCAAACTCTAAGCTGAGTGTGCCCTTTTTAACATTTATCTTTATTCTTGCAGTGCACATAAAAGGTCTTCCTAACAAAAGAGGCGGTGGATTAAAGCAGTGTGCATCATGCATATCCAAAATATAAAAATCAACAGGAAAAATTAAGTTATTCACTTGAACTAATACATCTTCTATCATACCATCGGGGTAAGCATTTGTTCGATCAACAAGTTGAATAATAATTCCTGTTTCTTTTAGAGGCCCTAGATTTAAATAGTCATATATTGATCGTGGCATGAAATTAATAACAGCTCCTAGATCTAGCATAGCCTTAGTTATCTCAGTTTTTCCAATCTTACAAGGGATAGAAAACATACCTAGATCACATGTTTTAGGTGGTACCTTTCTTTTGAGAACAGTAGAAACGTTCTCACCCGCTATAATATGCTCATCCCATCGCAATTTTCTTTTGTTGGTGTATAGTTCTTTCAAAAAATTTGCGTACTTGGGGATTTGGTTGATAGCTTCCAGGAGCGGGATATTAAGTTCCACCTTCTTGAATATCTCTATCATCTCTTTTCGCTTGTTTGCCTTTTGTGGTTTCTTCAGTCTGTTAGGAAAAGGAGCTGATTTAGTTTCAGTAGGAGGAATAGAGTTAGGAGGTACCTTTTCATGAAGTTCAGCTTCTTTTTCAATCTCCATCTCAATATGATCCTCGTTCTGTTCCTTTGAGATAGGAGGTGGACCTTCCAATTCCTTTCCGCTACGAAGGGTTATAGCACTCGTATTCTTTGGATTAGGCCGGTAAGGACATTCAACCATCATATCAGTGCAGATAGTGATGGCACTGACATTTGCTGGATTTGGCTCAGGCTGAGCGGGCCACTTTCCTCTTTCAAGTAGCTGTCTTACCTCATTTGACACTTGATTGATCTGACCTTGTAATTTGTCAACTGTCAATCTCATCTCTTGTTGGAACTGCAGGGTAGTGGTAGCCATAGACTTCACCAAGTCTTCCAAAGACGGACTGGAGTTGCTTATGGGTGCTTAGGGCGGCTGTTTCTCATAGAAATAAGGTTTTTGTATCTGTTGTGTAGCTCCGAATGAGTGAGGAGCATTACTCTGCTGTGCGTTTCCATAGCACAGGTTCGGATGATCTCTCCAGCCTGGATTGTAGGTGTTGGAGTAAGGGTTGTACACTGGAGGTCCATTCACACCATAGTTTGCAACGTTTACATCCATTGCATAGCTTTCTTGGAGGGTCGGGCATGCATCCGTAGGGTGGGCTGCACTTGTGCATATTCCATCGTTACTGTTTCCACTCGTGTGTCCAACATCCCTCGAACCAAATTGCTACGTGTTTTCACCCATCCTCGCAATAAAATCCCAAGCTTATGCTGGCGTCTTATTTACTAGAGCTCCACCACTTGCAGCATCGATGATGTTTCTGTCCATCAATGACAAACCATCATAAAAATATTGAATCAACAATTGAGGGGGAATTTGATGTTGTGGACATTTAATGATAAACTTATTAAATCGCTCCCAATATTCATGGAGTGTTTCACCTGATTGTTGTTTGATGCCACATATTTCCTTCCTCAGAATCGCAGCTCTGGAAACTGGAAAGTATTTCTCCAAAAATTTCTTCTTCATGTCATTCCACGTGTTAATGCTTCAAGGTGGGAGATAGTAGAACCAATCCTTTGCAGCATCTTTGAACAAGAATGAGAAGGCTCTGAGTGTGATCTGTTCGTCAGTAACACCTGGTGGTTTCATGCTGGAGCAGACCACGTCGAACTCTTGCAAGTGTTTGTGAGGTTCTTCACCTGTAAGTCCATGAAAAGAAGACAATAAGTGAATTAAGCCAGATTTCAATTTAAAAGCAATAGTGTTATTGAGTGTTGAAAAGTTAATGCATAAGGGCTGCTGCACTAAGTCGGGAGCAGCCAACTCCCTTAGAGTGCGGGTATCCTCAGCCATGACAGTCTCTTGATCACTTTCAGAGTTTCTAGAGCTAGAGATTTTAAGGTGGCTTAAAGATTCTGCTAGCTTCGCAACCTGAGCAACTTTTCGTTGTTTGGCTTCCTTTCGCAGCTTTCGCCGGGTGTTGGGGGGAGAGGGGCTGTTCGGGAGCTTCTTCTGCTCTTGGTGGTCCTGGCCTCAACCTTCTCGATCTCAAGATTAAATATCAGTTCACCTATATGAGAAGAACGGAGCAAAAACAGGAGGATAAATTAAAATAACACAAAAGAGTAAAACAAAACGTCAATCCCCGGCAACGGCGCCAAAAATTGACCTGTCGCGCGGTCAATCAAATATTTCACTTATTATCACAATTTAATGTAATATAGGGTAATTATCTCCGCAGGGATTGTGTGATTCGTTCTAATGCAATAAATAATTAAATAATTGAGGGAAATTTTCTTTTATTATCTAATTGGCAGAAAAGCCCTCCAAAATTAAAGACATCGGCAAGCAGAGCGGCAAGGAATTTGGCAACTGAATTCTGTATTCGGAGCAGCGACTAATCTCGATGAAGATGCCCAGATTCCACTACTGACACGATGGGGCGTCTCTTGTGCGGAGTGAGTGACGATTTTTTTGAAGATATCAAGATCCCTTCAGATCAAGATCTCTTTCCCTGTGCGCTAAGAAATTTCTGAAATTCTGAAACGGTCAAAACAGCAAGAACTGCAAGCGATCAGTATCTATCTCTATTAGTGAGCGGTGCCGGGCAATCTCGAGCGAAATAAAAGAAATCCTTCCTGATCAACGCGCTCCTCAGCGACGTCTGTTTAGGGCAAAGTTATATTTATTATCATTAATTTTAATATATATTTTTTTATTTATCATTATTATTACTATTATTATTATCTATATAAAAGAAAGAGGGCAGCGGCCTTCGCGTCAATTTTTTTTTATATTTATAATAGTAATATTAATAATTAATTTTGTTTTCTTGTTCATTCGAAATTTAAAATAGAATTAAAATAGAAGGTTTGAACCAATCGCTGATATCCGCTCCCAAGTGATAATCCCCAAGCGTAGATAGCGTTGATCAGTGCTGATATTCTAAGTAGAGCGGTGAAGCTGTCTTTCTCCTGTAAGCGGTGGAGTGGTGTTTGAAGCGAGCCAACTCGTCCGCCTGAACCAACTGCTCAAAATTTTCTCAATGCCCTCTTTGAGCGGTGACGAAAGTGAGCAGAAATATTCAGCCCAACGATGCCTCTGAGAGTGGCAGCGATGAATACCTCAGGGATCTATCTATGTGCGAGAGAAGCGGAGAAGCCCTCCGAAAGTGAGCGACGGCCCGGCCTAAGCAGTGGTAACGGATCAGCGCAAAATTTTTTGAAGGAGACCGAAGTGAAGCGACTATGGTGTAACTTGTAAGTTCAGGTAAAGAAATCAATTAATTTATATATTTATTTATTTTTTCTCTTTTTTTCTTTTCCTTTTTCTTTCACTCATCTCTACTGTGCACTAAATTCCTTTTTCTCTAATTTTTTTGTTTGGAGCCTTTAATCTCTTCCTTCTGTCATTTTCATCTTCTATTTTTAAAGAAAAATCTGAATTTGAAACTCGACTTTCTTTCAATTTCGTCTAGTCCTAATTCTTTTATTGTAAATTCCCCCAATTTCTTTACTGTAACATCTTTTCTCCCACTGGCGACGATGAAGCCAACCGCACCACTTGCTCCAATTCCAGCCGCCTAGAATCCACTAGCAAACATGGAAGAAAGATTGTATCACTCCACTCAGCCTTCTCTTGTTATTTTTACCGAATTTCTTTAACTTCGAACGCATTACTAATATTCTAAAAATTGTAGGGCTGCAGGGATTGGAGTGTTAGTTTAATTAATTAATTAATCATATTTAAATTTTGATTATTTTTTACATTATCTTATATAATTAAACTAACCTAAATTGTGGCCCACTTTTCTTCAATTAAGTCCATTACATTCATAATATACGTGAGAAGTGGCACAAAAATCGTGATGGACGGTTTTTCTTTTTAATTATAAATACTCTCATATACGAGTTACTAAACCTACTCTCAGAAAATTAGAATACACAATCGCTATTTGAGAGCTGGGGTTTGGCAATATCATCCTAGGGTTACAGGGTTTGGCAACCTCATCTCAGGGTTCCAAGGTTTGACAACATCTTCCTAAGGGTTCCAAGTTTGGCAACACTATTTTTCCACGGTTCCAACCTACTATTTTCTTGAAGAAGAAGATCTCAAGAACTGCTTTAATTTTTAGCAATGACTGGAGGTTTGTTTAAATTTCGTTATTCGCTTCCGCTAACAATTTAAGAATTATTTCTATCATTTGGTATCAGAGCCATTTTAGTCTCTACCTTGTTTTAAATTTTCTTCTCATCAAATTCTTGATCAAGATCCGATCCTGCGATTTGAGAAGATTTTATTATGTTTTTCGGAAAATTTTGAATTTTATTTTGAAATTAATTTACATAGAATATTAAATTTCTGAATTTTTTCTATGTTTGAATGGAGTGTGCAAATTCTTCTGTAGTGTATGTGCAATTAATTACCTTGAGAAAGCTTTTCCTTGTTAGATTATTGAGATATTTGTTAGATAAATTAATATTCAGTCCGAATCAAGAAGGGGCGACACAGATACATATATTGATTAATCAATGGATCTAAATTCTTTCCTACCTGCACCTATTTTAATTCCTAATTATGTCAAGTAATTCATTATTGGAAAAGAACTTATTGTTTTTTTTTTGAATAACGATGAATCATGCTGTGTTGGTTTATTTATTTTTATTTGAATAATATAATTCATGGAATCAGACGTGTGTATTAATATGCCAATTTATTAATTTATATTAATTTGACTTAATGTGCATATCAATTGCATTTCGCATTGTTTCTAAATGTTGCTTTATGCAATTATTTTATTTATTTATTTTAATTGAAGCATGTTGCCACACTAGTGTGAGATGATCATGCATATATTTATTTATGTGGACTTCATATTATATATTCATCATATTTGTGATTTATTTTAAATTTTTTTTAAGTGAAGAATAGTCACAACATCCTCGATTAATTAAAAATTTATTTATGATTTATTTGAAATCATATTAATAGACATTGATTGTAATTATCATGTACGATATGATGAGATCTACCCACAAGAGTTTTGTTATATTTATATGAGTAATTAGGATAAAATTTCGAATTGTATTTCCTAATCTACCTACATGAATTGAGGAAAGGAACGCAATTTGATAGTTTTATTGTAAAGTTTTTGTTTGAATCTAATTCAGTAAAACTTTAGCCCACAAACAAGTCTTATGTCTTCATATTCATGTCTTAACATGTTTACATTGGTAGAACATGTAATTTATTTGTCTCGTTTATTGATGAACATGTATATTTAATTTTGCAGTATTTAATCCTATGAATTTCTCTTACATAAAGTGTGATATTCCCGAATTGACTGATGATAATTACAAAATCTGGAAGGAGAGGATTCTCCTTCTTTTAGGCTGGATGGACATTGATTATGCTATTCGGAAAGACGAGCTGCCGGGTATTACTGAAACCAGCGAGCTAGATGAGGTGGATCTTTATGAGCGATGGGAGAGATCTAACCGTCTTTCCATGATGCTCATAAAGACCAAGATCTCTGCTGGTATCCATGCGTCTGTCTATCAACATAACAATGTTAGAGAGCTTCTGAAGGCTATTGACGAACAATTTGTCAAGTCTGATAAGGCTCTTGCCAGTACATTGATCATTCAGTTCTCCACGATGAGATTCACGGGTGTGAGGGGTGTGCGCGAGCACATAATGCGCATGCGGGACATTGCGGCGCAACTGAGAAGCTTAGAGGTGACCATGTATGAGTCCTTACTTGTCCATTATATTGTGTGCACTTTACCTCATCAATAAGGTCCATTTAAGATATCCTACAACACACATAAAGACAAATGGTAAATCAATGAATTGATGACCATGTGTGTTCAAGAGGAGGAGAGACTATTGATGGAGGAAGGTGGAAAGTGAACCTGACGGTTCATGGCAAGAAGAGAAAGCATGATGCAAAGGGAAAGGGACCTGTGCCAGCTGAGCGGGTTATAAAGAAGGAGTCTACGTGTTTTTTCTGTAAAAAGAAAGGACACATGAAGAAAGACTGCATTAAGTTCAAAACCTCGCTTGAAAAGAAAGGTATCCCTTCTGCATTTGTCTGTTATGAATCTAATATGGTTAATATTAATTATAACACATGGTGGATTGATTCTGGTTCTACAAT